GCCCTGCAGAGCCCCTCACCCCCGGCCCTGGCCGCCGCTGACGGGCGGGGTGTGTCCGGCCTGCAGGCCGGGCCCTGGGGGGAGCCTCCCTCAGCGGGGCCGCTCCCTCCGCCTCGCCTGGAAACGCCGTTGGGTCCTTGGGGCCGGTAGCCGGGCTGGGGCTTTAGGTCAACCCAGATTCTCCCCTCACGGTTGTCAGGGGTCACAATCAGCTACGGCAAGGACCTTAGAGTTGTGCGAGGGGACAGAAGTCCCGGCAGTCACACTCACACTCTGTTTTCTGGCCTCTTCTCGGGGAACACCCGGTTTGTAGATCCCACCGTGGAGGTGCTGCAGGACAACCCCTGTCTGACAGAGTTCATCACCACGGTGCTGGCCCTGCCAGAGCCCAGTCTGAGCATCCTCTCCTTTACTCTGCGGTTAGTTGGGATACTTGCTGCTTCTGAAGTCCGCTTCCAACGCTTGCAGGTGAGTCAGCCACCCAGGTACCTGCTGCCACTTGTCTTTTTCCTCCTTCTATACATAGTACACCTGAAAATGTACATGTTTTGCTTATAAAATTTCTGGCATATGTCTAACAACTCAGCAAACAGTTATATGATACTGAAGACCTACAATCATACTGTTCCTTTTCTTGTGTCAAGCTGCTGTCTTCTCACTTCTGTTTTGTCACAGTAGTAATATGAATGCTGATATGTAGTTCCTCTCATTTTATCTTCAAAACAGGATATGGGATAACACTATCTCACAGCAGTTGTTGCAAAATGTTGTATTCCTGAACAGATCCTGTAGATTTAACCTGCACTAACAGATGTTAGTAGGTTGGCAGGAAATCTCCCAATTCCATGCAAAAATGAAGGAGCTTTTTAAAGCCCTGCTTTCTACAATGGAATGTATTTATAGTACAAAACTCAAAATCTAGAAGTTTTTGAGGGAAGAGATGCATACAACTGTATAAAGCAGTCTGATGGAACTGATATGTATATAAGTTGCCCCTAGCCTCTTAAAACCAAGCAGTTTTACTTTTGAACCCCTCTTTTGCTTAGTCCACGAAAGAGACAGATGTGGAGTTTAAGCTTGAGATTCTGAATATTTTCTATTTTAGTGGTACTTCTAGGAAGAGGAGGTTTCACCACAGTATTGATACTCTTGACTTGGATGACAGAGCAGCCTCTTCCACTCCCCTCAAGCTCCTTTACTTACCATTTACTCTGTGTGTTCTCCTCTGGCCTCAGCAGGAGCAGCTGTTGGTCAGGCTCTTTGGCAGGGACGGGCCTCTGAACAGCGCAGCGTGGGAAGACGCATCTGTGCGAAGTGGCTGGGTGGAGGGTGTGCACAGCATGATGCATCACCAGCCTGCCCTCCAGTTCCTCTGCAATGGTGGTGAGTACTTCTAGGACTGGGAACTCCCCAAATCCTCTGTCTGTCTTCCATTCCAGTCTGTTGCTCAGATGTCGTATGAGAGAGACAGGAGTTTTCACTTGTTTAAGATAAAAATAAGTTATTTGTCAAAAACACTGAAGTAATCGAAAGTGATGGGGTTTTTGTTAAATTAGTTCTGCATTTAATCCCCCCCCCCCCGAACACTGAAGATAGAGCCCTTTTTAGAGGGAAAAGAAGCACATCTTCTGAAACACATAATAAAAATAGCTTATTAAAAACCTTCTGTATTCTTATTTGTAATTCTAACTAAAATAAGTACATTTCAGTATGATTTTTGAGCAGAAAAACTAACCCCAGGGGCTTATTTATCTGTTAACACTTGCACACGTGGATTGGTATTAACGTGTGGCATGTGCTGCTGTCCATGTGATGGAAAAGTTGATGCCATTCATTTTTCTGCTGATTGTGTCCAGAGATGGTGCAGGCTTCTTCCTTAAATATACAGTGAGCGTGCTGTCAGCTCTCCTACTATTACGTTGACATTCTCTTTTGTTCCTGAGTTATCAAAACACCCGAGGATCTGAAAACAATCCTTTTATTCTTTTGTTTGCTTTTTGTTTGTCATAAAGGACTGACTGACTGACTTTGAAATGCCATAGAGACTACAAAATACAGTATAAAAAACCCACCAACACCATTTAAAGCTACATGTTACTTGAATTAGAGTAATAATATGGTTGGAGTGACAGGTATCCTGTTGTTTTTTCCTCCAGTGACTTGTTTTGTTTCCACACAGGAGGCATAGATGTGATCTTCACTCTGCAAGGAGATTCCAGCCTGTTTGTGGCTTCTGCTGCCACTCAGCTTCTGGTGCAGATGCTCACCCTCTCCGTAGAGTCTGAAACGACTAAACCTCCGGCTACAAAGGACTGTGACTGGCCAGCGTGTGCCCAAATGATTATAAAGCATATAGAAGATTCCTTGCAATCCAGCTCTGTCTGTCAGATCAAGCAGTCGTTAAAACTGTTAACTAGTGTGTTTGGCAGTTGTCGCGCTGCGTGGACTGAAGTCCTTTGGTTAGGCATAGCAAAGCAAGTGGAATCCCTTTTGACGGAAGAGACTGTTCAAGTGAAGCACATGCTCGCGAATCTTTTGCTTAACATGGCATGGTAAAGATCTTCTGAGACCTTGAATCCAATGATGAGATATATTTGTTTTCTACCATCTAACAGGACTTCTTTCTTCTCAGGTCTCCTGTGTTTTCTGACCCTGAAGGCAGTTTTTGGGCTTTAGTGACTTCTGCTCTTGAGCACTTAACCCCAGTACAAGTGGGTCCTTTGGCAGAGGGAGTTCTGAGGCTCTACAGATGGTAGGACTTCCTGCAATGAAACTTTGGCACTCTGCAAATATTTCTCTACTAATGCCTCTGGTGTCTTTCCAAGAACTGTTTTTTGGTTTCTTTTCTTGCTACATTTTGCACTACATTCTTTAATATGTAAGACTGGTTGGCAAGAACCATGCCTAACCTGAGGCATGGTTAGCCTGAGGTAGCTAACAAAACCTCGGGCACTGATAGTAAGAATTAAATAGTTTCAGAGAGAAATTAAAGGAGCCAATATCATGTTTATGTGTATATACTTGCATCTTACCTACAGCCAACCAATTTCAGGAAGAAATAGCAAACCTCTTTAACTTTATACTGCCAGGGTTGATTAAGATGGTCACAATTTGACTGCCTGTTAAATCTATTAGTCTGTGTTTCAGTTTTCTCTTTCACAAAAACACCGACTAGAGTAAGAGCGTTCATTGCTGTCCATCACAAATGTGCATCTGGAGACTATGTTGACAGTTGTAGAATGATGAGGTTATAAGGAGCCTGTAGAACTGATGTAATTCAGCCTCTTGCTCAGTACAGGGCTAACCTCAGAGATTGATTACGTTGCTCAGGGCCTTCACCATTCAAGTTTCAAATAATCCCAAGGATAAGGATTCCATAGCTTCTCTGGGCAACATGTTCTGGTGCTTAACCACTTTCATTTCACTATGAAAAGTATTTTTTGTATATCCAGTTGGAATCTACGCTGTTGCAATTTAAGATCCTTGTAATCTTGTGCACCTCTGAGAAGTCTGCATGTATCTTCTCCATAACTCCCTTTCAGGTAGTGAAAAAGCATCAAGAAATCATCAGATGTTAAATGAATACAGCACATATGGATACTGATCTACAGACTAAGCAACAGGTTACTTAAGATATAAGGACACCATTTTGTTGACAAGAAATGCCTCTCTCTAAGCCCCGCTCTTACACAGAACCCCACTCTATTTGCATAGCTTGATAAGGCTGCTTCTGAATTCCAGAGCCATTTCTCCTCTGTTTTCAGTTAGCCAACAAAGATTAGAAGAAGGGCTTGAATTGTGATAAAATTTTCATTGCTCTGTCATTGCTGGCTTGTTTACAAGCCTGCATGAAAGACATTATTCTGCTCAGCATTTGGGGGCAGCTATTTGGGAAGGAATTGAAGTGTTCTTGTTTTGGTAACTGCTGTTTCCTCCTTGAAGCCCACAAGATGTGAGGATTCAGGCACTGACTGTTCTACTTCAGCCAATGGACTGTATTTTGAGAGCAGCCTCCCAGCCTCTGGAATATGCAGGTACAGTTGTGATAGACAAGTTAGAGGCTAGTCTGCTTGCCAGTGTTTTAAGTGTCTGGTGCAGACAGAACTGGAGGAGGAAAGTAGAAGTTCAGGACAGTAGCAGGGTTTGTGGTGAAGTGCAGCATCCTACTGACAGGGATATTCATACTACATCACCTGAATATCTTGATTAACTTAAAAAAATCACAGTCCTTTTTATATTAACCTGAGCTCTTCCCTCCTTTGGTCCTTTAGGTTTGCTGGATGAGTCTGTTAGTGATCCCGTCACTGTTGAAAATCTTCTGTCCTCTAAGTCATCTTGTGCTAGTCTTCTGTGTCAGACCCTCGCTCATCTGGAGAAGCTGCTGTCTATGGTAACATTCAGAGAAGGAAAAAAGCCTGGGGATCAAATTGGTCCTTGAATGACAGTGTTAAGATTGGTTGCAAACTTTTGTAGGAGAGCTTAACAGAACGTGGAGAGGAGTTGACAGTGAGGGTTCCATATGTTAAAGAAATCTAGCGCAGTAGACTCCAAATAGGAAAACAGAGGAATACTGAGGGTTGTGAAGAAGGACCACACTTATTTAAAATTAATCTTCACAAGCTTTGTTACCATAACTTAATTGTACTGCAGTTATTGATACAGTGACAAAACATAAATGGAACTGCTTTCCCAAGCAGCGAGAAGAATCTCCTTCCATCTGTGCAATAGTTCTTGGGAAAGAGGAGGATAATTTGTTTGTAGTTATTAGCATTCCAGTACCTTAAGAATGCACTAGAAATTGCAATTTTTGCTGCCTCCTGACCAAAAACTCCTGCTCTTTCTGTGCACTTGAGACTTTAGCTGGAAACTTTTTTTCTTTCTCCCTCCCCATTAGACTCGTTTCCAAGTGGATTTACCCGCTACGTCTTTGCTGCGCTCTCTGATGACAATATTACAATTCTGCAATGGCTTCCTGAGTCCCGTTTCTCCTCTGGGAAGCACAATAAGCCGAATCTTGATCAATTGCTCCCGAGTACAGAGGTCAGCTCTTGATGTCCTAGCAGCACTCTCGGAGCGAAAAGGTGAGTTAATCTTTGCACTTTAATTTTTTTTAATTTTGGAAATACTTGACTATTCTGTAGTTGCAGAATTTCTCATTCCCCTTCACTGATCTTTCTCACTGAAGACTACCACTTCCATTTCTGAAAGTTGTGCGTTTTTTCTAAGTCTTCCTACTGTCCTGGCTAACCTTACTTTCTGTTGATGGACTAGGGCAGGTAATGCTGTAATTAAAAATGCTTTAGTGGTTGTGAAAAGTTGGATTTTTCTCCTTTACTCTCAGGCCTGTACTTGCTTTCTTCTCCAAAACAGTTTTATAGTCCTGCATCTTCCTGTATTTCAGCAGTTGAATTGTGATTCAGCTGCTTCTTCTCTTAGTATTTGTCCTTTATTTTCGTTTTTTATGTTTCAGGCTGTGACACACTCATAGGAAATCTATTTGATATCCTTCTGGCATACCTGGAGAGTCCGAACACCAGCCCTACTGTGAGTACAGAACTCAGAAGAGATCCAAGTCTATTAACTTGTCCCAGTAGGATGTAGTTCTGAGAACTTGTCTGACAATAGTTATGGGGGTTCTGTTTTCTTGCCTTTTTTTTTTTTTTTTGTTCAAATGACTGGTGACAACTGCAAGTCAAAAGCTGGAGGGACTAGAACTTCATAGTACTAATCTGAGAACAGGTGTTTTCTAGGTTTTTGTTAACAATGTTATGTAAGCACCATTTATTTGTGGCTTGCTTCTCAGGAAGGAAGCATGTGTGCTTGTTTACTCTGAGAATTTCTAAGTTTGAGTCTAAAACAAATTTTATCGATTGTAAAGGCAACAATATCTCCTCCTGTAGTAAAGTAAATCTGCTTTATATTGCTTCAGGTTCTAAAGAAGACATTTAATGCTACATCCAAGTGGCTGGTGCACTTGCAGGAACTGTCCTGCTCCAACAGTCAGCGGCAACAAACCAAGAAGATTTTGCAAGGTAACGAAGCTATTCAAGTTGGGACAGACAGCAGCTAGTGGCATATATGAAATCTGCTCTTGCCTGGCTTTCCTGATCAGAGTACTTTGGATTCATTTGTTCACAATTATGTTGAATTTAGGTTTAGCTGGACAAACAGTGCTTCTAAGACCTCTGGGAGAAGCACACAACAGCAGCAAAAGGGATTGCATCATATAAAATTATACAGAGGTTGTACGGTGATTGCTTCAGTAAGGCTTGTTGATTTTCATGTCCATTCAAGCTTGTCACTTGGCTTTTACAGATGTGTTTCTGGTGCTGCAGAAGCATTTGTGCAGTCCTTGCTGGGAAGTAAGAGATTCTTCTCTGGAATTCCTCACTGTCCTGATTGAAGGCTTGAGAGGTAGGTACAGAGATTTAACAGTTGAGATTGGAAGAGTATTTCTTCTAATGTTATGAATGTCAATCAGGCTGGTGAAGCATCCTCTGATCTGTAACTGGAGGGTAAGAAAAGAAAGAAGTGTCAAGATTTTTACTCTTAGGCTCTGATCTGTAACTGGAGGGTAAGAAAAGAAGTGTCAAGATTTTTACTCTTAGATAATGATTGAAATCTGACAGAAAAATTAATAAACTTGTCCTACTTTTCTGTTAAACTCAGATTGCTGTGCCCTCTGTAATGGCAGTTTTGGTGAGTTAAACAGAAGTGTTGAGACAGTAATTTATGTTGAGACATGTATGTCAAGGCAGGTGGCAATACTTAATAGCAGATAATACCTTCCCTTTTTTTGGTTTGCAGTGAAATCTGGTTTCACCTATCAGGCTGGAGGCTTGGATTTGGGAGGCTATAAAAGCCTAGATCCGCTTTGCATGCTTGGGGTTAATTACTGATTTTCTACTTTAAAGGTAGTTCAGGTTTTTGCAGCAGGTAGCACTAAGGCGATGTTATTTCTGCTACACTAGCTCTGTGATGTTGGAAGAAAGGGGGATGTTGTCAGCTGCTGTTGTCCCCAGGTCACAAAGGAAGTATCCAGCACAGTCAGTGCATGAGCAGTTTACCCTGCAGCCCCTCTCTGTGCTGCAGTTTCATTCTTTTTCTTTGCTGTATGCGTTGACAACAAGAAAGGAGACCATTTTTTCCTCTTTTAAGCACAGCTATAAGTTTGATGAGGCTGAAACCATGTCCCCGCTTGCCTGGAGAAAGTTTTTTCTTGACACTAGAACAACTGTAAATGGATTTTCCCAGGTTCTGGCATCTAGCGGGGCTTGACTGAAAGTCACCAAGCTGCTGGAAAATAGGGAGCTTGACACAGAGCATCTGTGCTCTTGTGAGCAGCTGTCTGGTCTCTGCAGTGGCTCAGCTCACTGGCAGCTGTCCCTGCAGTCAGTGGGCATCCTTGTATGACGCAAAGAACTGTTTGCATTGGAAACAGCTTCGTGCTCTGAGAGAATAAAGCATTGCTTCTTTGGATTGCTGTCTTGTTTACAGACCAGGATGAGTTCAGGCAGTCTCTCCTGTCTTCAGAAGTGCCAAAGCTTACAGAAAATCTTCTTGAGGATCCAGAAAGCTACGTGCGAGCGAGTGCTGTGACTGCTGTGGGACACTTGGCCTTCATTACTTACTTTGCTGCAGGGTCACCTGTTACAGGGAATCAGTATAATAAAGAGGTATGACGACTTGGTGTAGCCCACTGCAAAATCATGCAGAACTGCACATCAGTTTACTGCTATGCTACTTCAAAATTCGTTCACAAGTTATCTGCAGTCTCATGCAGGCAGCTTTCACAACCAGTAATGAAAAGACTAGATTCTTTACTTACACTGTTCTTATTTCTTTGCACGTTCATCCCTCATTGTGCTTTCTCTTTGTCTTTTTACATTTAGAACACCATAGCGAAACTTCAAGAAATCTTGTCAACAGACTCGGAGGGCTTTCCCAGGAGGGCAGTGATCAGCATCTTCACCAAGTGGGTGAGAGAAGGCTGCACATTTCAGCTGGAAGATACAGAGCAGTTTGTCTCTAGAGTGATCCGAATTGTGGAGCATGACTTAGACTGGGAAGTCAGACTTGGTGGTTTGGACCTTGTTCAAGCTTTCTGTAATCAAACAATTTGCCTGTTTGGCCTTCCTAAATGCCTGTATGCTTCTGTCACACCTGCAGTCACTAGATCCGTTCGTCGGAATAAGCCGCTGCAGATATTTTGCCGGGCAAAACTTTTCAGCTTTTTGTTTTGGTCTTTGTGTGACTATGACAAACCAGTAGGTCAGAGAGCCTGTGATATACTGCTTGACTTAAGCAGTAGTTTCTATCCAATTAGGTCCCTGAAGGATTCACAAGAGACTGGAGATTTACCTGCAGGATATGGCATTGACTGGTTACAAAACACACTAAGGCAAGGTTCTTTAGCCCAGAACTTCCCCACAGATGGTAGTAATGGGGTGAATTTTGAAGATCCAGAGAGCATGATGGTAGCTTTGGGTACAATAGACTTAATCGAACTACATGATGAGCTAAATAAAAGTAGTTACCATGTAGAGGAAAGCCCTCAGTCCCTCTTAGAGGACATCCTTGCTACTGTGGGGACCATAGAAGAGAATGAAGCTGACTGTTACTGAAGACATCTTTTACTCTGAGGGAACAGTGCTTAAACACTTCTCCTCTGGAGAATTTTTTTGCTACCAGTCATGAAGTCTTTCTTGAGAGAGGATGAAAAGAAGTGTTACACTGAACAGAGAAAAGGATGGTTTCATTAGCTGTTAAATAGGTTAGAAAGTCTTTGTTTTAATGCTGATTAATTTTTTTGTTAAAAAGAGTAAACTCCAATAAACTGTTGTTTGTTTTTTCAAAGTAAACATGTCAAGAAATGCATTTGTTCTTTTTTTTAAGTCCTGTGTCTTTTAAGAAGGCACCAGACCATGCCTACATAAGGAGATATTTTTAAAAAAACGTAACAGTGACTGAAAACAACTTGTTGCATGCTCCTTTAGAGCCTGAGTAGCTGAAACTGATGAAGAGTGGTTTTAAGGGACACTTGTTTTGACTTTGTCCATATCTTCATTCTAAAAACAGTTATTGAGTTTCCTTTTGTATTTTGAGTCTAGAGCAGGAGGTGGCATTTAAGGAGTCAAAAGCTGATCATTCTTGACATTACAAACTTTCTTTTTTAGATGGCATACTTGTTTGATCTCAGCAGTGACACTAAAAAGCTGACTTTGTTTTTAATTGAAGCCAGAAACAAGCACATTTTGCTGAATTTTTCAAGTGCTCCTATTCTCCATTCCTGAAGAACTAGGATACCTTCTGACTAGTAAGAGAAACTGCCACCAGCAGCTTTTTCATGATAAAAATAGATCAGTGCTTAGCTTTAGTAAACAATTAGAAAACAGCAGCTATAGTGCAAATGGCAACACTGTTTTCTGAGAAAGAGTGCCAAGTTTTTAAAAACTGAGGGAAGACTGTAGTTTGCAACTTACCCCAATGTCTTGCCATATGCTAAGAAGCTTTCTGAAACCTGGGGGGGTGGGGGAAGTACCTTTACCAGTAGGTCAAACCATGCTGTATTCCTCTCCAGCACCGAGGTGTTACTTGGCATCCTTGTATCCTCCTGCAGAACTGTAGAGGCAGGAGCACAACACTCATTTTAGGCTGCTGGAGGTCAGAGCATCTAATGCAGTGGAAGAACTACAATCTCCTCCTTCAATATTATCCCTGCAGCAGTACAAAGGGGTGAGTTGTAGTCTGAATTTCTTGCTGCTGAGGTTGAAGATTTCCTCTTATGTCTTTTAACAAGGTCAGCACACTTACCTATCGCTCTGTGCGCAGCTTTATGTGTGACAGAGCCCTTGGGTGTTGTACCAGCAGCTGTTAGTAGGAGCAAGTAGCTCTGCCTCTGATACACAATTCTACTTAAGCAGGGTCTGCACCTGGCAAAAGACAGAAGATATTAAAAATCAGGCCTTTTCCTGCCACTGTGTTTTTCTCAGAAATTCCTTTTTAAAGAAGTTTGGATTGTTTGTGGAGTTTCAGCAATCCTGTCTGGTGCAGGGATTATAGTTCCAAAACTAGCATTACATGTTGGCAGTAGGCCAGATATGTCTCCCTCCTGGTTCAGGAAAGGAGACAGCAGGTTGCTGGGTAAACGTCTTCCTCTCGTTCAGTGCTAGAATTCTTGTCATTTCAGGGTTATGCAGTTTAGGAGACTCCAAGGAGTTATTCACATATCAGCAAATTAAGAGAGTGACTTGTTACAGAAGGGAAACCACTGCTTATTACTGAGGTCTCTCGACTCCTAGACCTATTAATTTTTAATAAAACTTTCTTTTAATATCAGCTGGGGCGATGGTGACATTGTAAAGTTTATACCGTTTGCCTAATTGCAGTCCAAAGTCTTGTTTATACTCAGGATGCTTGTACATGTAAAACCCAATGTATAACAAACTGGGAAGGCTCCTTATCTTTAGAAGGAGAACGAAGGAATCCTTTCATCTTTCATTAAAAACAGGTCTCCATGTCCAGCAATTAGGTGACTCAGGCTGATGTTATACATCTCTCTCCCCCGAGATCACTACATTGCCTTTGTTTTCCCTGCCACTCTCGTTACAGTAGAGTCTTATTAACACTCAGATTCTTGGACTAACATCCTGCACCTGATAATTATGAGAAACAGAGCCATGAACACCTGAGCAGTGTAAGGAACAAATGCCAGGGAATAGAGAGATTATAGGAGATTAAAGCAAAAGAAAAATCCCATGTTTCCATACAAAATTATGGCAGTGGGTTTTGCGAGATTAAAATTTAGCTAATGAATTAGTAAACACACACCAACAGCTTCTAATGTGAATCATCCATCATGCTAGGAAGCCTTCTGTAGGGTGTCCATCTTTCCACACTGGTAAGAACTCACATACAAGCCCTACCCTACTTAGGCCTCTTAACTCATTTTCAACCAACTTCTTACCTACCAAAGCTTTTTTTTGTACCTCCACAAGATCCTTATCCCAGCCACACAGCTTTCTGCTGGGTTAAGAATTTACACCATATGGTATGTCTTGCCAAGGAGCTGTGGTTGTGCAGCCAGTGGGGGAGAGTGTAACTCAAGTAGAGTCCTGAGAAGCAGACTTGTTACCCCACATGCACACTGAGCATTCACTTCAACAACTGCTATTGCTACTTACCACTTCACAACGTGACAACAGTGGTCCCTCCAAAAACTCTACACGCCCAGCTCGCTTCTGTCGCACACTGAGGACTCCAACAATGCAGAGAAGGAGGTGGCCTGTCTGGCCTTCTGCTATGGACACAGGAAAAAGTTCAAAGCTGCCTTTTTGGGATGGATTTCTGTGGAAACTGCTGCTTTCACACCATCAGTGCTTGGCTGTGTACGGTTCCTGCAGGAGGGAGACACCACTGAGAGTTTTTCTGACACACACACACACAACAGCTGATTTCAGCAAAGGCTGTGGCCAGACATGGACCTTGTTTAATGCCAGAAGCACCAAGGCTCAGGACTGTTTTGTGACAGGACATTTGTTTTAATGTGGATAGCAGGCAGCAGCAATACAAGTAGTATCAATGCAGAACATCACAGATTAGAAAAACATTTGTCTCCAATGGCTGGTACTGTGAAATAAGATAATTACAAAGCTCATTTCAGCTTTTATCTGCATAGGGACAATGTAAGTCCTGTTGCCCAATCTGTACACAGGTGTGAAATTTCTAGAGTTGCTTTCAACACATTTCAACAAAGCTCTGAAGAAAGGATTTATCCTTTAACTGCTCTGACTCAAACACACATAGGAGAGAATAAGCATCTTTGGCTCAGCCCTGCACTAGTAACAGCTTTCTAAAACCTGCCAAAAGAACGGCTGTTAATTTTCTGTTTTAATACACTGAACTTTTAAAAATCCAAATAATATTATTTGCCTAATTACACTAATTGCACAACTTAGTAAAAAATGGGCCATAAATGTCTAAAGCTGTTTCTTTAGCTTAGATGCGTGATCTGTAATTACAGATCAGCTCATGCAAATCTTCCCAATTTCTTTTGTCCGTCTCTAATAAAATTTGCTCTTCCTTTCAGTACATATTCATCAAGGTTTCTGAAACTCATCAACCAATTTCACTGCAGAAGTTCTCAGCAATTTACAATGAAAAAATACATCAGTAGCAGCACCTCTGTAGTCTGTGTCATTTCCCTTTAGAGCAGTGGGTTTTTGTCCCCTGCTGAGAAATAAAGCATCACTTTAACACGGCCAGACCTCAGCCTGTGTCAGACACACTCCTCCACACACAGAACACATCTTGTCTCTAACCTTGCGAGCTAGCACACAGAGAAAGGGAAAAGCTTTCTTTCAAAGAAGTGGTATGTCTCTCTGAGCAAGGTGGAACAAAACCGGTGAGGTACAGCTGTCATGAAAGCATTCAGGGCTCTCCAAACACACATCATGGATACACTTAAAACTCATCCCCAGATGAAAGGGAAAAGAGCAGTCCGCATCAAGAGTCCCTGCAATGCTACAGGTGCAATTACACAACTGTTTTAGTTAAAGCAAAATGAAACTAAAGGAAATAGTATTTCTATCTGTAATATCAATACCAAGTTTCTGTTTAGAGTACAGCAGCTTAATGTGTTTATTTACCATAAACATATAACAAGGCTGCAAAGATGCCATTCACATCTGCCTCCAAAACAGACCCATCTAAACCGGGTTACTGCCCAGCTCATTCTGCAGTTGCCCAGTTGTTAAACTCCATGCAAGGGCAGGAGGGGGCACCCACTCCTTTGAGGGACATTACCCCGTTAGACCAGATCAGGTGTAAAGTAAAACCACGATCTTAAACAGCTTCTGTAGAGCGTTAGGGTTTGAGCCATGGTAGGACTGCTCCTTTTCACTCCTTTTCAGTGCAAGATAAGTTGGAATTACCCTTAAGAGATAGATACACTTTCAGATCTTCAGTTCTCCCATTTCATTATCTCTTGGTCCTCATATTTCCAGTCTTCATTGGCCCCATATTCGCTGAGCTTTCAGGCTGGGTCAGTAGAAGGGAGCAGGGAGCTTGCACTGCTGTGCATAAGGACATCAGAGCTTGCCTTGGCTCGTCCCTCACCACCACCATGCTCAGAGCTTTGGCCTCGAACCAGCTTCTGGGCTGGGCTGTGACCAGCACAAAGGAGCTGCAGAGCCAGGTCTGGCAGATGGTGAATCCAGCATCTTGAAGCACAACTTGGCCCAGCCAAGCCAGCTCCAAAATAAACCCTTATTAAGCTGCATTAGCCATCACACCTGAAATTCTTCTGATTTAGCTCTTATATAGCCTGAGCAGGGGCACAGGTGAGCCCTGGAGCCCATCACTCTCAAAAACAAACACCCCTGATGGGACTGATCTGGTGATTACAACTCTCATTACATTCCAACAACAAAAAAGCTGCAGTTAAAACACAAATGGCAATGGTTGCTAAGTGACAGCATCCGTACAGGCTTGTCACAGCTGTGAGACAAACAGCTGTGGCTCCACAGCAATCCCAGCTTGTCTATGTAATTGAGGATAAAAATGCTGTTTTCATTCCTGTCTAGTAACCTTAACTTTGACCTGTCAGAATATTTGATGCTTTAAA